TGAAATAAAGTCAAGTTAAAGGGCATATTTATGTATTATGCATTTTCTAAAGAAGTGATTTTGTAGTTGTTGAGTGAGTTCGAAGTTTTGCAAAATTTGAGGTACAACTATTTTGTTGAAGTAAATAGTTATAGATTCCACAACCTCGGTTGCTTGAGGGGGGATTGTTGTTTCTTTAATAGTAGTATTTACCATTCTTATATACATTGAATACAAATTTTAGCACTTTATAACAGACAAGTGACAAGAGTAATAATTGTGTTTTATGTTTTCGAAAATGTAGATTCATGGTTTCAGGTGGGACTTGTTCTCACGACTACTGTCAATTGTGCGTATGCACTAGGATATGCTGGCACAATCATGGTTCCTCTGGGTTGGATTGGTGGTGTGACTGGTATGGTTTTATCTACAATCATATCATTATATGCTAGTACCCTTATGGCAAAGATCCATCAATATGGAGAAAAAAGGCATATCAGATATAGAGATCTTGCAGGATTTATGTATGGTAAGAAAACAGATTGACGAGTCGACGAGTCGTAGTCACTTTTAACATCTCAAGATTTAAAGTTGTTGTAGTTCAAACTTATATTGGTTGATGCAGGATACAGAGCTTATGTCATTGTTTGGGGATTACAGTATGCAAATCTTTTCTTGATAAATATTGGATTCATCATTTTGGGTGGACAAGCCTTAAAGGTAGGATAATGACTTTTTTTTTAGCGCCTCCCTAGAAGCTCCCACCCTTTTTTGCTCCTTTGGTGACTCAAACTCACAACCTTCAGGTTGGAAGTGAAGGGTGTTTACCATCCGAGCAATACCCTCTCATCGGATAATGAGTTAATAATAAGCATAAAGTAGTGTTAACCTTTTTAATGTGAAAGCAAATTTCATATAAAATGAATCTGAAACAGTTTTTATGATTGACAGGCTTTCTATCTTCTCTTTAGGGAGGATCATGAGATGAAGCTTCCATACTTCATCATAATCGCAGGATTAGCGTGCGTGATTTTCGCTGTTTCTGTGCCCCATTTATCAGCTCTAGGTGTTTGGATGGCAGTTTCCACATTCCTCAGTATAGTGTATTTCTCAATAGCCTTTGCTTTGTGTCTTAAAGATGGTATGCATAATTGATTTAACCGAGTGTGGCCTTCTCTTCTAAAAACTTAACTTGTTAGAGATATGAGTATATCTTTATTTACTTAATTAATTATAAGTATGTATCCCTCTCTCGACGTGAAATTGCAGGTATTAATGCTCCTCCTAGGGACTATAGCATTCCAGGATCCTCCTCTAGTAGAGCTTTTACAACTATTGGTGCAGCTGCAAGTCTTGTTTTTGTATACAACACAGGAATGATCCCAGAGATCCAGGTATTTACGCTATAAATTCATTCATGAACTTTTATGGAGGTACGATTTACTGATAAATTTCTGCGATGGGTTGGACTTAGTAAAATGATGGAAGGAAATTTGAACTATGACCTCTGGCGTTGTTGTCCAATGCAATGAAGATTTTCCAGCTCTTGTATCTACACTTATTTGTTGATCAATTTCATATGATGATCCTCACATTAATATTGTTAAAATTCAATTATATGACAGGCTACTGTAAGAGCACCTGTTGTTGACAACATGTTGAAAGCCCTGTATTTTCAGTTTACTATAGGAGTTGTGCCGGTGCATGCTGTTACTTACATGGGGTATTGGGCGTATGGATCTAAATCATCATCTTATTTGCTCTACAATGTCAGTGGCCCTGTTTGGCTGAGGGGATTAGCCAACATTGCTGCTTTCTTCCAATCCATCATTACGTTGCACGTAAGTAACTCACAAATTTCACCTTTTATGAACCAAAATAGTAGTTCATGAGACTCAGAAATGACAGCAACTCCGTCACAGAAGAAGGCAATATCACAGATACATTGCTCTCATTCACCGTGATTTGGCATATGACATACCCCCGGGTAGTGTACCCTCTATTAGCCCCAAGAAGTGTGCCTATTCCTTACCGAACAAATTAAGCACTTATCTTTCTTGACGTATAGTTGATGCATATGTCTAATATTTTCTCATATATTAAGCCTTGTATTATTGTTCATTGCAGATATTTGCAAGTCCAACATACGAGTATTTGGATACTAAATATAGAATAAGTGGAAGTGTATTGGCTTTTCGGAACCTGTCATTCAGAACAGTAGTTAGAGGTGGTTATCTAGCAATTACCATTTTTCTATCTGCTCTGTTACCTTTTCTTGGAGATTTCATGAGCTTCACCGGTGCTATCAGTACAATTCCACTCACATTTATTCTTCCGAATCACATGTACATTGTTGCTATGAGGAAGCAAATTTCGTCATTACAAAAGAGCTGGCACTGGTTCAACATTCTCTTCTTTAGTTGTATTGCTGTTGCTGCATTAGTTGCTTCTGTAAGACTTATTGCCATGGACTCAAAAACTTACCATGCGTTCGCAGATTTATAACTCATTCGAGTTTACCTGGATGAGAATGTCTCTCATGTTTATGTTGTTAGTTGTATTCAAACATTGTAGCTTCTCTATTAGAAATAAGAGATTTATGACTTTCCCCATCAAGTAGTTGGATGTATGCAGTTCTAATTAGTTTTCAGATTGGTAGTGTGATATGTGAAAGGAATGTTGAGAACATTCTATCTACACTTTTGGACCAAACTGCAGTTCGAATTTAAGCATTTTGGCCCCTCAGCTATTCCCCAGGGCCAAATCATTGAGTATCAATTAAAATGTTTTTGAACCAACATAGGTTGTGGTGGAAGTGTGGAACTGTTCCACTTTTAGCCAGAGGTCTCAGGTTTTCAGTCTTTGATATGAAGAAAACCTTGTTGGAAGCACCACCTTTTGAATGGGCTTTGTAGTCTACAATCTAAATTTAGTCGGAGCTTCAATGCAAACACCAGACACCGGATAGAAATTTGAATTTTTTTTTTTTGATGTTGTTATGCCTTGGGAGAGATTGGTGACAACAACGTAATTGCGTGATTTATGGATTTGATATTAATTTTACGCTTCTTTTCCTTTTAAGCGCAATAAAAAAGATTTTGTTCCCTTTTTAGCGCAACAGAAGGATAATTCTTGTATCATAATTAATGTATCCGGATGGTGGCTTATGTATCCCGAAGGTACAAATTTAAGGAATTATTGTAATTAGAAAAAAAGTAGGGAGGATATAATTTACTCTTTACACTATGGGATTTATGTAAGTTATACTATTAGAAATGGTTCAAAAATGTCCTACTTCCACCTATTGGATCAAATTTGCCCCTCCTTCCACCTATTGGATCAAAATATATTTAACGTATTAAAAATAATTCAAAAATGTCTTTCTTTCCCCTATTAAATCAAAAATGTCATCAACCTATTACAAATGGTTCATATATATCCTTATTAATGATTTCACTGCGTTAATACCAAATATCTTCATTTAGGAGCACCATAAAGAATATGATCGACAAATTCTTCTTCAAAATTGTACCTGGTGGATTAAACTGGCAACACAGCTTGAGTTCAAAGAACAAGCTAAACAGAGGTTCCATAGTACAAGAAACTTTTTTCTATTAAAAAAAGAAAAAATTACATATGAAATAAATAGACTAAAACCAAATTAATGATTAAAGAATAAAATATTTTATAATTAACTATGAAAAACTAATATCATATATATATATATATATATATATATAAATAATTATAAAACTTATATATAATTATTTAACGATTTGGTTCGATTATTTTTACTAGAACTTTATTCAAACCAAATCAAATGTCAGTTTTTAAATCGAGTTGGTTTGATTTGCTTTTCTGTTAGCACCAAAAAGGCTAATAATTAATGCATGACTCTTTAATAGGCAAACTTAATATGCCTTAATTTGTAAATTAATTAAAACTATGAACGTTTCACTTCATTGTAGAACGTGACCAACTACTATATATAATTATTATGGAACGTATTTCACATAAGGGAAAACGAAAGAATTAATGGCTTCTATATTATTCATGGTAGCATTTTTCTTATTTCTCAATATTCCTCAATATCATTGTGCTGGTGAAAATTCAGCAGAAAGCTTTCTTGAATCAGCAATAAAACTTGCTTTAAAAAAAACATATCAAGCTGACGATGTTGGAGACTACTATTGTATCGACCAATTCTCAAATGCACAGAGACTTCTTGAAGATGCAATGCGTCAACACAAACAAAAACTCTACAATTCTGTTCTTTCTTTAGCTCATGAAGCCCTAAACTTTGTTAGCAATTGTCATGAAAATCAAGATTTAGAAAATCTTATTAAAATAGCTATGCAACTTGTGAGGATAGAAACCGGATCCCCTATGCCTAGCCAACAATAAAGCGTACAATAAATATAATCATGTCAAACGTCATAGCTGAGTATACAATATAATTTGTCAAAAAGTCATAGAAAATATACATTGATTATACTATATAGCTTAAATATACATGACTTATACACTGACTATATATTTTGATACACTCACTAAGTACAATTCACGAATTCATGTGAAGAATATTTAATTGTACATTGCAAATTGGAACAAATAAACATGCATGCTCTAGTTATAATCTGATGACTGAGATGTAAACTTGATTTAAGCATCAGTCTATTGATTTAATATTTCTGGATATACAGTTAGTGAAAAGAACTGGGAACCTGAAGATTATATACAAGCGATCTGATCTGGCTCTGAATTGCAGAGGCAGAAAGATGGACCTTACATTTTACGGTTCAACTCAACAACACAGAGTATACATGTGAATAATTACATAAATATTGAATTCTGAACTCAAAGTGTATGCGGACCTTAAAAGTTGAACCCGTCAAAATTGTATATGTTCGGTGGATGAGAAGTGATACTCATCATAAACATTTCCATCTGCTTCTGAGAATTTAGCCTTTGGAAGCCTATAAGGAATTACGAACTGCTGTCTATACCTCTGGCCTTGGCAATCATCTGTTCTTCTCATGTTTTGGTCTGAGACAAATACAACCAGGGAAAGGATTTGCATAGAAATTTTCCTCCAGTTTAGGTGAATGCCCAACAACTCTAGCATTTGGTGCTCCTGTTCTGTTTACATGTAAGCCCCTAACTTGAGTTGCAAATTCTTTCCAAGTTAGCTTCTTGTTGTCCATTCCATCCATAAGTCTAACAAAATTTTGCCTGAAACATGTCAACAAACAAGTGAACAAAACTATTTAACACAAGCATAAAGAAAGTAAATGCTAGAAAAATTGAACATTGATGATGTCTAATACTTACTTGTCCGGATTGATGGTCTTCCAGAAGCCTTGGAATAGGCGATGACCACGAACTGCCTTGGCCATATTCCCATCATAGGTGTATAAGAAAACGTCAGCATGAAGAGCTAAAATATAATCTAATGCAGCAAGTTGATTATGCCTTTGCATAAAAGGTTTCAACTCTTGCTCTGTTGCCAAATTGGAATGGTAATATACATTTGGATACCTTTCTTGAAGTGCCTTTAATCCATTTTGTCCAAAAATATCTCCTGCGACTATGCAGATTTTAGTGTTTGATGGATATTCCATCGCCTCTAGAAAAATGGCAGCCTCTCGAGGTGTCATAGGACATAGCCCCAGAACCCTCTTTTCTGTCCCATTTATCCTTTTCTCTTTCCAATGCTTAGTTTTGTACCTTAATTTTCGAAGCTCCTCTGCTTCCTTTTGTGTAAGATTGTGATTGCAGCCTGTGAAAGCCAGCATATCTTTCTCATATCTGTCATAAATGTATGTAACTTAATTTCTAAAACGATAAAAATTATAGTTTTCGGGTATGTATTTAAGTAATTTGTACCTACCTTAAATGCAGAGCTATATATGGTTCACCATTTTCCTTGAGTCTGTTTACTAACTTTGTTCCAAGTTGTTCAATTTTCTCCGTAAAACGAATGGCTTCATACATGGCATGGCATCGGAGTTTTTGGATTGAATCTGGGATGCCATTGTTAGCGAGCCGCGAATCAGTGTGAGTGAATTCTATTACTTTGTGTCTCTTCAATATCTTCAAAATGTCTCTATTATAGTAACTGGCCTGCACTAAATTAATATGATCAGCCAAAGTAGAAACTCACCATTAATTTGGGGCAAATCTATGTTGCTAGCTAGGACCCTTCAAAAATATCTACGTGTGTCAAATACTCCAAAAGTAGTGTATTTTTGGAGAATCTGACACGGGTGTGGCAACATTTTTTAAGGGCGGGGAAAATATATGTATATGAAGAAGCTAAGCATGCCTTTGACCAAGAAACAGGTGCCTTGAGGAAAGGTTTAATATTTGCAACACTTGGAGGAAGAGACTCCAATACTTCAATATCATCTTCCAAAGATTTTCTGAAATGTTGCCAGTCAAAGATATCTTTGAATTCACTGTAAAACAGAATTAATTATTAACATTATAAGATGCATTTTAATTATTTTTTTCAAATAATTAAATACCAGGAGAATGAATATGTATATTTATTTGCACCTAGGATCTGTCCAAAAGGATTTGTGATCTAACATAGGAAGAACCAAGCTTGCATTCATAAGTTTTGCTACTGCTACCATATCGCTTATCTGCATCAAAGTTTTAGTAAAATTATGATAAGTAATTATTCATTTTCACATATACAATCGAACTCGAAAAAAAATGAAAAATTACATAGTACAATTGGTTTAACATTAGAACACTATTAAACAAAAAAAACTGGTAATTAATTAATAAAGTAGCTAGTCTTACCCCGCTTCTCATTTGGTTAAGTCCTCCATTTGCATGAACTAAAATATAACCATTGCTCATACTTTTGCCTCCTGAGAAAAAAAAATGTTTACACTTAATGACAAATTAATACTTATTGCTCCAATTATCAAGTGTTAATTAAGTATACATACTTGTCTTTATACTTGATCGATCGATGCATTTATAATACTTATCACTTCCGATGTTTGCCCAAATTTCACTATTCTGGGAAGACATTATCCAGGAAATTAAACCTATGATTAGTACAATCCAGAACTTAAACCTATAATGTTAGTTAAAATCCTGAATCCACCTCTGACTCGTGACAACAAATTAAAGGGGAAATAAAAAGAAAAGATTGATGAACCTGTTCATGCATTACATGACGTGGAAGTTGTAAGAAATCATGATGGGAAGTCATGGTGGCATTAACTCTAAGAAATAAATGTATGAGAATAATCTTCACAAACATGGTGGAAATCATAAGTAACATTAATGCACCAAAAATCCAACGGCTTAGGTATCTTCCTGGTCTCATTAACGAATTAACCGACGACGTTATTCTTCGATGATGATGATGCTGTCCTATATTAACTTTCCCGTTACCATTTTCCTCCACGTATTCAACGGAATCTATCGGTCTCCGACGAGTCGTGATGGTGCCCGTTGCCAATGGGGAATTGCTCATTTTTGTTAAGTGTAAAAAATGGGGAAAAAAAATGTTAGGGAAAAAAATGGTGATTAGTGGAAGAGAGACATGGTAATGGAGAGGAGAACAATAAGCCTTGAAGGGACGTTAAGGGCTTCATCCTCATTCCCATGTTGTTTAATTAATTAACAATTACTCATCCCATTTTCCACTTTTGTGAAGTAATGGCTCCGCTTTATGAGGCAAAGCACCCAATGTACAAATTATAATTAACCGATATTTACGAATTAATCATGTTGAGTAGTGGATAAGTAGTTTCCTCTATTTGTTTATTATGCAATATTTTTGGGAAATTAAACGTGTTTATTTTGTCAGAAGAAAAATAAAAGTGTTGTAGTAGTAAGACAACTTGGTTAATTAGAGGTAATTAAGGACAACCTAAACAGTAGCTATGTACATTAATTAGTTTAACCTAGAGTATATACACACGTTATATGCTAAAATAGATTGTGATTATAAGGATTGGCTATCACGTATGATAACTTGTAGGACTCTTATGACTTTTAATTTCCTTCTTGTGTATAAATACATGGCCAAAATCATCCTTAAACTATACTCCAAACTTAAACTATATCCTTAAAGTATTATTCTTAGCAGAAAACATCCTTCAAATATTTAAAAGTGAACAATGTTCATCCTTCTACTTGAATTTATCAAAAAACTAACAGATCCCACAAAAATCAAGTCATCCCTTTGTAATTATTATTCTTACATACGCTAAAAATACTATCGTGAACTTTTTCGGTAATTGAGTTTAGCATTATGCAAAATCTTTTAATTTGATGGGTTTTTTTCCATTTATTTTTCATGTAATTTGATATTACAAATATTATTAATTGAAATATATTTCTTCTCAATTGAATATGCTAGAAGCGGCGTTTGTTGATGTCTAAGATTTTTTTTTAAAAATCAGGAACTTCTTACAGCAGGTAATGAAATTATGCAAGAAAACTTTTGTTGATAGTCACGTGAACTACTCATGTTTTTGTAGGATCCATTAGTTTTTTTACGATATCTAATAGAAGGATGATCATTGTTAACTTTCAAATACTTAGAGGATGTTTTTTGCCAAAAAATATATTTTAAGGATGTAGTTTAAGTTTGTGGTATAGTTTAAGGATGTTTTTGGCCAAAAACTCAAATACACACATATGAAGGTAACCGTACACATTCATTGAAGAAAGACGAAATCCATCGACACCAACGTATTAAAGTTATCAACAACTTTCACTTAGACACCTCAAATAGGTCTTGTTTATTTTAAACATCCATAAACTTTCATTTAGACACCTTAAGTAGACCTTGTCCATTTTTCAAGTATGCTTTTTGACACTTTTTGCTGACATGACATAGAAAATGTAATACACTCATTAATGGTGTGTGAGAGATATTGTTTTAGAAAAAAAAATAGAAAGAATTAAAGTAAACCTGGGCTTTGAGTATAACGAAATTCATCTAGGATTTTTTGGAATATGAACTTGTTGTAGGTAAAATAAAATTTAATTTGCAGAATAATTGAGGAAGTTAATAACTTTTATGAATAATTTTTTTTTTGTTATTAGTTAAGTTTCTTATAAAACCTTGTATGGGATTGACGTAACGAATTGCTAAAGTACTTGCAAGATAGTAAGTTGATGAAAGATGTTAATGCATCTTAAGCACTCCGGAGAAAAGCCACACGTTACTGTCGAACATCGGACCAACTCCCTATTTATGGCTTCCTCCGTTTCTTATTAGTTGATCACTTTTTATTTTACACTATGCTTAAGGAATCATAAATAAGAAAATATTTTTTCTAATTCACCCCTTAAAAAGCTTCTTGGGAGTTGTATAAACAAAAATGTGAACAATTTTAAAAAAGAATTAATTGCAAGGGTAATATAAGAAAAATTGAATTGATGTTTTTGTGATTTAGTAAGATGGACAACTAATATGGAACAACTATTTTTAGTATAATGATTCATTAATATGGGACAGAGGGAGCAATATATGGAATATAGACAGCCATACCCGCTGAATTTGAGATAGCTTTATTCAGAATCATTAAAGAGGTTTATTTGAGCAATGTAGAATGGGTTCATGCCCGATTTGAACAACTAACATTGAATTTTTTACGAAAATTTTTTAACACACAATGATCACACCTAAAGATTGATATCAATGTAAAGAATGTTTCATTAACCTAGTTATAAGATTTAACTATTCATAACTAGTTGCAAATAATAATAATAATAAAAGTAACTGAAATAACTAAAGAACATTAAGATGAAATTTTTTTATCTAAACATTTGATTAATGCAGTTCTTGCAAGTGTATATGTTTGTACCACAATAATCTTGTATGAAAGCAATAACTAAAACTAAAAACAAGTATGAAGTACGTAGTTCATAATAAAGAATGATGAAAACCAAATTCTATTGATAGAGCATAATCCTAAAAATGTTGTGCTTATGATCTATTTATAATAGTTGAACGAGAATTCTAATCCTGATTGGACTCTACTTTGACTTTGTCAACTCTGGATCTGTAAAACTCTAGTGTGCGGTGCAGACTCCATCGCGGAGCAGGAGATCTATCTCAGACTCATTGTCTTCTTTTCAGTGTGTGGCATGTCCATCACATAAAATTTTCCCCATAGAATCTAGTTTCAACAGGTGCGGCGTGAGGGCCGGCCAACACATGGTCTGTGCCCCGTATTACGGACCACATTTTATTTAGCCTACTTTGGTTGTATTTTAGTATGGGACACTTTGATTTGAGTTCTAATCCATTTTTGGGTCAATTCTTGTTGTTTTTGACCTAAAATCAATCTAAGCATATATATATATATATATATAAAAGCTCATCACAACAGTTACACATAAAACACATGGATATATATGAGTTAACGCTCAATTACGGATAACATACGGTGCTTGAATGCATAAATACATTCGAGATCATTTATCAATTACGATTTGATTTTGACCAACCCTAAAAGTAGGTTTACAATAGTCTAACAATTGTTTTAAAACAATCCTAAACTCATGCAATGTGGAACCTCAATAATTTCATATAAATAAACTCATTGGATGGGATAAAGGGTTGGAATTCTCCTCATAATTGTTGAGAGCATTGTCCCTTAGTGAGGGACTCAACAAAAAAACATATCTCTCCACTATTGGATTTATGATCGGTATTAGATTCAGTTTGTATTTGTACATATTTGTAAGGTAATTACGCATACCATTTTTACATAATGTTCTTTATAAAGAAGACTTGTATTTGTCCTAGATAAGGTAAGCATATTTTTGTCTCGTGTATCTTCATTATGGTATTGCCAACTCGTATTTTAGAAAATTTGATGGCGTTGGAAAGAAGACTCAAAGATCTTCGATTTGATACCTTACGGGCCACCTAACTCTTTATGTGCTAAAAGTTATGGTCGTTTGCAGTTGATCCAAAACTTAAAAGAACTTATGGATGACTTGAATGAATTTCTCTTTAGTTCTTTTTGGAACTTGAGATGCTACATTTAGTAACCTTAACACCTAAGAAAATTTAAAATTTCTCGGTAAAATCTTATTCACACACGAAGAATGGTTCGAGTTTTAGCTCAAAAAATTTCGGGGTGTTACAATATCTCCCCCTTGGGATCATTCGTCAATGGGGTCACTCTTACCATCTCCTCTGACTCCTGAACTTGCCTACTAACATAGGCTGAACTGATTCATACTAAGAGTTGGGACTCTCTATAGCACATAACTCAAGAACGATGTTGTTTTGAACAAAGTCACGCTCTCTCTGAAGTTATCTTATCTGAAACAAAGGAAGTCTGGGCATGAAGTATGAATAGGAATATTATGCCTGGGTAGTCACAAGTCTAGGCATGAAGTAAGAATAGGAATACTATGCCTAGGTAATGTGATTGCTATTTGTTAAGCTTAGCAACACTCCTCGACTATGTTCTTCTTTCCTTATTACCATACCTCATTGGCTGCAACTCATAGCACCCACAAGGGTACATGACCTCTCTTGTCAAGGTATAAGTCTAAAGTCCTTGCTTCTTATTCTAGAAATTGTGTATAGATGTGAATCTCTCTAAAGTGCATGAGTATAGGTCATGAACACAATCCTGATATTAGAAACATAAACAAGATTATGTACTGACTGAACTTTGAGAATACGCTAGAGTATGAATGGATTGACATACCACATTAACTCTTCCTGAACATATTACTATCGGGAAAAGGCATCAATTCCCCCTTGAACTTGTCCCGAAAATTCAATTACACGTACGCTTAAACTATCATAGTGACGTATTACACACTTATACTACTCAAAAGTAAATTTTCTTACCCCCTAAAACTGACGTGGCAAAATAAAAAATAAAAAATAGGCACGTCAGTTTGAAATTTAAGTGAAAAAAAAAGTTAGAATCTTCTTATCCACCCCCACCCCCACCCCAACACCTCTTCTTCTTCACACCCCACCCATTGTCCTCTTCTTCTTCATTCTTTATTTTCATCACACTTCTTTAAAAAAAATTATCACAATCTTAAAGCATAATTTTTTTTATTCGCAATAAGGTTAATTCTCATAGATTTTTTAGTTTATAATTGTATTTTATCTAGAAAAATTCCGGTTGATTGTTTCTATCTTTGTCATTTTTTTGACTTTGTTAAAGAAATTTTTGTTGTAGATCAATTTTTGGGTTTAATGGTGATAGCAATTTTATGGGTTCGGTGGTGATGGGTGGTGGGTGACAAAAATTAAAAGAGGTAATTGAAGATAGTGATGAAGAAAAAATTGATATTAATAATGGTGGTGGTGATAGTTGGTGTTGGGTGACAGAGAAGAAGAAGAAGAATTGAATGTGATATAGTGGTGGTGAAGAACAAAATCAATAGTGAAGGTGGTCGGATATGATTTTTCCGATGAAATGAGAATTGAAATGGGTGTGATTTAGTGATGAAGAAGATATAATTATTAGAGAATTA